CCAGAGTGTTGTTCAGCATGGGGGTGAGTAGAAAATGAAGGCTAATCATGTTTTGGGTGTACTATTCCGTTGAACATTGGGATTTTTTTTTTAACCGATGCTCATCAGGGTCAAGGTTTCCGTGTTTCAGTCCAAAACCTTTTCATGAGAGAAGCCCTCAGTGTGTGCACACCTCTGTAAAAACATAGTTGAGCATTCCTGTATGCCAATAGTCATGACTAAGCAGTTTTTATCTGGGCAGCGGTGAGAGAAGCCCATTGTGCACCATGGTAACCCGGCGCTCGCTTGTGTCCGCAGCTCTCCAGACTGAAGCAGGAGCTGGCCCAGGTGAAGCAGGAGCTGCAGTATAAGGAAATGGGAGTGGAGACCCTGCAGGAGTGAGTGTTCCTCTGCCTCTGTGTGTCTTTGTGTTCGGGGTCCACCCTTCCTCCCATGGCCAACCTTCTCCTTCCTACACTTGGCCCTGCTGCTCCCCACCCAGCAGCCTCTTCCCTCTGTTTGGTCTCTTCCCCTAAAGTCTGTCTCTTGGTGTTTCTGTTTCTCTTTTTAATCTTATCTTATATACAAAAACTAGTTTCAAAAACTGAAAGGAGAACCTTTTTAGAATAAAAAAATCTTTTCAATCAGATTTTTGTATGTTGCACCTTATCTGAAGCTCTACAAATTTTTTGTTATTTCTCTTTGTGTGTCTCTTTTCCACACATTCACAAGGCTGTACTGGGAAGGTTTCAAAGCAAATTTCTTGTTAGAAATAGAAGCTCCACCTCTGAGCAAGAGGGGAAAAAAAGAGCTTTTGAGAAAAGCCAAATGGAGGGAGTTTTTTTTTTTTTTTGATGGAAAAGGGGACTCCACCTCAGGAAGAGGATGCACCAGTGGAGTGCAGGGAGGTAAGGTTCAGCCTGGAGAGGAAGTTGTTCCATTGGGGGGGGGGGTTTACAAAGCAGCTTAAAAAACACTAAGATATCTGGCAGCAAATTCCTCAGCACTTCCTGAGTCCTGGTAAAGAGTTGCTTATCTCTTAGATAATACACGACTCAAGTGATTCCCAGAATAGCCAGGAGAATACACAGCTTGCAAAAAAGCCTTGCCTACCCCCCACACACCCCCCCTCTTGGAGTATGCTGATGTGTATACGTGCTCGTAGGCGTGTTTGTGACTTTTCCTGCTGGTGTGTCGGTGTCCCATTGTTCTCTGTGGATTGTTAGGGTAGAGAACAGGACTGACCCTCTAGGTTGTTTATATTGTTGTTGTCCTTTTTTGTCCTAGTTAATCTTAGCTGTGGTCAGCAATAAAGCTAATTCTTGTCCATGTCAGATCAACTGATAAACTGTTTCTGGTGTGCAAACCACTTTTACATCGAGTAATTATCACTACAAGCCGTAAAGAAGACAGGAGTTTGTTGATATCTATTAGTCATCCTTGTGCCACTTTATGTTTACAAGTAACTTAAAAACTTAAAGCTTTTAAGGTTTCCCCCACTGATACCCTGCTCTTCTGGCAGAACGAGAGAAAC